TGGGCGGCGACTCGGGGTCTTGTTGAGGGGGGAGGGAAAGGGCCAGCTTCACACCCATCCCGTGAGGCCTCGCGTGTCTCATCACTGCGGGCCCAAACCTGACTGTCCAATGGCCTCTGGCGGATGGCGGTCACCAAGCTGCCAAGGGGGAGCAGTTGGAGGGACAGCACCCTTTCCCCTCTGGAGTGACCCAGCGACAGTAACCTACTGCACTGTCTGGACGTATTTATCCAAAAGCCACTGGTTTTCGAGATTTGTTTCTGAGTCTCTGGGATCATGGCCGCTAAGCAGCTTGATCAGGAGCTAGAGAGGCCGTTTGTGAGCAGCGACTCGGGGTCTCGTTGGGATGGGGAGCAAAGGGATGGCTCCACCCCCATCCCGTGAGGCCTCATGTGTCTCATCACTGTGGGCCCAAACCTGACTGTCTATTGCCCTCTGGAGGATGGCGGCCACTGGGCCACCAGGGGGAATAGGCCAAGGCACGAAACCTATTCCCACCTGGGGTGGTCCAGCACCAGTAACCTACTGCAGGGATTGGACTTATTTCTGCCAAAAGCTTCTGGATTTCGAGATTTGTTTCTGAGTCTCTGGGATCATGGCCGTTAAGCAGTTTGATCAGGAACCAGAGAGGCCATTCCTCCAATTATATAGCTGAGCTAGAGGTGGTTTGTGGGTGTCTCCCACATACCTAACTTTCGGCCATTTGCTTTCTTGGTATACTTTGCCCCAAGTTTTTGGGGTCTGCCAAAGGCACAGCAGCAATTTTGGGGTATCTGGAAGTCTGAAGGCGCCAACAGGCTGCTGATGCACTCATCTCACAGGTACAGATTGACCTGCTGGCAGCACCATACCCCCCATACAGAGCGTTTAAATTTAAAATGTCCCCATGATGGGAAGATTTGAGGGGTGATGAGGAAAATGGAGATAATGATGGAGGGAAAGTGGCAGTGGTGATAGGATTGCTGTTGGAATATTGATTGCCTGTAACAAACTCATGAACAACTTTGTAAACCAAGAGAAAAAAATAAATAAGAGGTCTTCATGAATAGATAAAAAACCATTGACTAATATATTTTAACTGCAGATCAAAATACTCTGGTCTAAAAAAAATAGGCAAAGATGCAATATCATTTTCTTATTGTCAAGTAACACATGGAATAGATATTCTCACCTTTACTCTTTCCCAAAAACACACCTCAATTTTAGGACTTTCACTTTCTTGTTTGATTTTGATTTTTTTTTTGAGGTACCAGGAATTGACTCTAGGGTGTCACACATGCAAGGTGTGTGTTTCTCTGTTGAGCCATCTCCTTGGCTCAAGAGTTTTACTTTCTACTTCATATCTTGTTTGTTATTAAGTTTGTATATTAAAATTTCTTATTAAGTTTGTATACTATGCATTTGTCTTTGGGAGGTGGACTCCCATGCAGTGGACAAGAGGCCTTGGGGGCACCACCAGCAACTCTCAGCCAACTAAGCCAGAGTTTCAGTGCCAGGCTGGAGAATGTGATGCGATGCTGCTCTGTCCTGTGGTGCTGGGAGTACTGGGCACCCCCGGCAGTGCTTGGGGCTGCCCCAGCTACACCCAGTCTGTGGGTGTGATTGTTGTGATAAACTGTATTTTTATGATCAGAAAAAGAATCAATAAATATATTTAAATCTGTGGGAAGGAACTAGCTATACTTTTAAAGTAATATATTCTTATTCCCCTATAGTTTCCAGATGGAGAAATTTTTAATGCTTCTCCCTAAGAAAACCGAAATTCTACAGAGGATTTCAGTGGAAAAATCAGGTATTGGGCCTCAGAAATAGTACAGCAGGTAAGTCCCTTGCCTTGCATGTGAATGCTAATAAAGATCCCTGAACACAGAGAAAGGTACGGGTTGGGGAAGTGAAGGGAGTTGAGGGAAGGAGATAGGAAGAGGGGGATAGCAAAGAGAAAGGAAGGTGAGGGGAAATTCTGTGATGAATACTGTGATCTAAATATACCCCTAGATTAATGCCAAATAGAATTAACCTAATAAGATTTTCAAATATGTCTTCAATATTTAAAAAATATTCACACAGATAAATACAAATGAAACAGTTTCAATTTCAAATTAATGCTTTATTCATTAACATAATATCTCTTATTTTGACCATGTACCATTAGTTAACAGTATACTCCTCTGACCTTTTGGGTGAAATATGCAATTTCTCTTCTGAGATTTTCTTAACTACCCAAGCCTATTCACATATTTTGCAATTTAATAACATGTCATAAATTATAATTGTCATTAAAACATTTAAAACTAAATAATGAAAATAGAATAAACGCTGTTAAGGCAAAGCTTAACTTACAAAATGACTTAGAAAAGTCTAATTAACCAATGAATCACACTTTTTCCAATAAAATACTTTTAAAACTAGCAAATAATCACTAGCAATTAGACTTTTTTCTCTGAAATTGTATTACATTTGGTGTGCATATTTCACTTTCAAGTAACTTTAAAGACATTTTTATTCCCTTGTTTTAGATAAAAGATTATTTTTTGTGTCAGGGAGCTAGATCAAAGAACTGTACTGCATGCTTTGAATGGAAGAATTCTGACACTCTCCACCCAAAGATTATTCTTAGCAATAAATTACCATAGTGAATAGCTGGATCTATATGTCATTTTAATTTTATTTCTTTCAATGTCATGCATGGGTAAATATATTCACAAATATTTAAATATACAAATATTGTTACATATTAATAGTAGAAAGCATTTATTATGTGTCTTTTCTTTTAAAGACATGCGTTGGTCACATTACAAGAAATGTATTCACTAATATCAAAGTAATAAAAATTACAAGCTTAGGAATGATCTGAAATATGGTTATGTCTACTAAAAGAACTAACATGATAGGTTTTTACTTCAACTTCGAAAAACTAAAGGGAACTGAGATGAGGAGAAAATGAAATGGTTCAACTGCTATATTCTTTCAAGATGACCTACTAATACTTCTTTTTGCGAATACTGGATAAAAGTCAGGTATCCTTTGTGTGAAGCAAAATATAGTTTTTACTGAAAGAAATTGAGAGATATGAGAAAAGAAGGATATGTATGTGGGGGGAGGGAGGGAGAGAGGGATGAAGGCAGAGAGGGAGGATGGGGAGAGGGAGAGAGAGAGAGAGAGAGAGAGAGTGAGAAGGTATGTTTAAGAAAGAACGTGGAGGGGCTGGAGCGATAGTACAGCGGGTATGCAGCACACCCGGGTTTGATTCCCAGCATCCCATATGGTCCTCTGAGCACCGCCAGGAGTGATTCCTGAGTGCAGAGCCAGGAGTAACCCCTGTGCATCGCTGGGTGTGACTCAAAAAGCAAAAATAAATAAATAATAAAAATAAGAGAGAGAAAAAAGAAAAGAAAGAACATGGACTTCTCCAGAGTGGAAAAAGCTCAAATTCAGCTTTTAAAATCAATGCTGGATTACAGAGTAATAAATGATCTTTACAGTTGGAAGGTGGAATAGTAAAAACAGAGAAGAAAAACTAGAAAGGGAGAGGATAACGGAATCCAAATCGGCAAACATATGCTGAAGGAAACGTACATTTTTTCCTAGGTGACTGTTGCACCTTTGCTTTGATTGCATCTGGCGTTCCCTGACAAGCAGCTCTCCCCAGCAGCGCTGGCTCCAAGCTCCTGTTACAAACGGAAACCACTGGCTCGATTGGGCGTAACAACTGCTCCCAGAGCACTTGACCTGCAATGTGGTAGGAAGAGCCCTGCCTCGGGGTGTTTTTTGGTTGTAGGTTCAAATTAGAACAGATGGGGGCAGGGGATTCGGGTCTGGTTTATTCACCGGATGCTTGCTCTGTGGGCTCAGACCGCCCTCAATGCACAGATCAGGGCAGAGTTCTCAAATCAGCCAGGATCTCTCCCATGTCAGAAGGACAAAGTAAGGAGAACAGTAACCGACAGGAGGCGGAGCCTAGTCAACTGTAAGTGTGAGGGTCCTGAGGTTCACAAAAGTGCACCTAAAGGTCTGAACAGCCTGTTTCTAGGGTGCAGCAGTGGTATCTGCCACCTAGCCCACCGTGGAATCTAAGTTGTTCAGGGCCTGAGAGAGGGTGGGGTGGGGGCTGTGACCATGGAGTGAGTGGGGTAGGAGCCTGGCCTCCGGGGGGGTCACATCTCTGCTGAGAGGATTGATGGGGCCTTCCAAAATATGGGTACACAATAAGATATTTAGGAAACTATCGATAGCGAAGTCCTGCTCTATGAAGCAAACCGTTTCTAATATTCCAAACAAGTTTCCTGAGGTCAAAAGACCTAGCTTAAAAAGTGACTGTCTCTTCCTATTGCCACAGCCGTTTGTTCACGTTTTTCAGCTAAATACATGATCTCACTGCTTTCAAGTGAAGTGATCCTTGGACCAACTTTGAGCACAGGCTTCACTAAAAGGGAATGCTGGTTTTATATTACATAGCTTTTAATCGTTTAAACAATGAAGACTGTAGTGATGGGTTTCAGCTCTTCGGAAACAGACACACTACTGAAAATGTGTGCAGGTTTTTAAGATATATATAATTCTTTTCTTTTTTTGTTTTCCAATAGATTTTCTTGGACTATAGTGATTATTTTCTCACACTGAATAGACAAGCTGTATATTGTATACAATACTGCTTATTTCATTCCATCTAGTTGTGGGGGAGTGGGGTGGGTCACACCTGGTGATGATCAGGGGTCATTCCTGGCTCTGCACTCAGGATTACTCCTGATGGTGCTCAGGAGACCATATGGGATGCCTGGGATCAAACCTAGGTCAGTCATGTGCAAGGCAAATGCCCTACCCACCATACTGTTGCTCTGGCCACCAAATATGTTTATACAAGTAGCTTTGACCATCTAACTATGTATTTATAAGGAAAGTTTCAGAAGTTATGTTTGTCACATTTGCTGTAATAAATATAGAATAATTAATACAATTTAATATAACAGATACCACTTCTACAAGTCTTCATCCAAGGAGACTTAAGGCTGAGAGTCTGTAGAAGTGCCACCATGATTTGTCTTTTCTCCAGAGATGGAATGCTTCAGAAACTGACCGGTAGCACCAATGTATAACCTTGATCGCATGGGCCATTTCTGAAAAAAAAAAAATTAAACAAGAATGCAAGTGTTAGACTCAATGACAGATATAACAGTAAGAGTAATGTTAAAAATTCTAGACAGGTGAAGGGATGGGTTTTGACTGAAACCCAATCATGAACGACTATGTATATCTCATGGTGAGTCAGTTAAAATTTTTTTAATTTAAATTAAAAAAATTACAGACACCTAAATGCAAATATAATATTTTAGTTAATAACAATTATTTAATCAGGAAGTTTAAGGCACAACCTGAAAAAGGTTTGTTAATGTTAACAAAACTAAAAACCAGGGATGAGAGATAACACAGGGATTAAGGCTTGCATGCAGCAGACCACCAGTTTAATCCCCAGCACCACATGCATAGTCTTCCTGTGGGGCCAATTCTGAGCACAGAACCAGCACCTTTATACTCCAGGTCCCAAACAGAGCCGAGATCACCGGGAAGTCCTAGATGGGGTAGGTGCCACATCCCGCCTTCTCTAGATGAAATCCCAGTGACCATGAGCCTCTACAAGCGTAGCTCAGGCATGCGGAAACCAGGACTTTTATTCCAAACCGCGTGGCCAATTATGTGGCCACGTGACATTTCCTTATATACAAAGTGATCAATGGAAAGTAAATTATCCAACGTTTCTCCCTGAAAATCAGGCTTAACTCTTTTGCAAACCACAACACGCAATAGGAAAGAGAGAACAAAAGGGAATGCCCTGCCACAGAGGCAGGGGGTGATGGAGGGCATAGGGGTTGGGAGGGATACTGGGATTTGTGGTGGTGGGAAATGATCACTGGTGGAGGGATGGGTATTCAAAATAAATAAATAAATAAAAATAAAAAATAAAAAAAACATAATTTAAAAAACCCTTAAAGATGTACTTAAAAAGATCCTTAAAAACATACATCTCTTGAAGGCCTGGGGATATAGTACAGAGGGTAAGGCATTTATTTGCCTTGCATGTGGGTGACCTGGGTTAGATTCCCAGAATCCTATATTGTCCCTGAGCTCTGCCAGGAATGATCCCTAAGCACAGAAATAAGAACTAAACCTGGAATAAGCCCTGAGCATAGCTGGATGTGGCCCAAATCTCCCTCCTCCAAAAAAAAAACCCCAAACATACCTGGATATAAACTATAAAATAATTGTGCATGCATATAAAAACTATAAGAAATCATAACTATAGCTAAGTAAATGGATATATCTATCCACAAAATTGTAATTTTAAACTAAACCTAAAACAAAATTAAACTTAAAACAAGTCTCTGATTTTAAAATTATTTTCAAAAATTATACATAGTAAATACTTGTGTCTACTCTTGTCAAAGAACTACAATGAAAAGTTACTAAGTCCAAATATTTAAATCTAGACACTTTATCTATCTAGAAATATCTGGAAGCTGCGTATAATTCGGGCGTTTTGGTGATACATAAACAAAACATCCACATTAAATGACTGGATATATTGAAACTCTTAAAAAATTTATTTTTGTTGTTGTTCACAATAATTTATTACATTTAATATTTCAACACCAATCCCACCACCATTACACCTTCCCACCACCATATTTCAAATATTTCCACCCTGACCCCCAAAGTCTTCCCACAAAGAAGGACCTAAATATTTTATTTTATATTATTTGTTATGAATAATCTGCTAAAAAAATCCAAAAAGTTTCCTTAAAGAAATATGTGTGAAGATTGTTGTATTTCATCCTGGAGCCATTAAGCCCTTGTATAAGAGATTACTAACATGTTGTTAAAGTTTGAGTCTTGTATATATGTGTGTGTGTATATATATATGTATATATGTATATATATATATACATACATATATATTGCACTAACATACGCCTCAGAGACCTGGGCCCTACGAAAACAGGACAAAAATGCTATTCAGTTATTCCAAAGAGGAATCGAAAGAGCTATGCTTGAAATATCACATTTCACTCAAGTGAGAGAAGGAATCTGGAGTTCCAACCTCCATTGATGATCAAGAATCAGGGACACTGTCATTTGCCAAGGTGTCAAAAATCAGATGGATCGGACATGTAATGCGATTTAGAGATGACCGCTGGACTAGAGCTGTTACCAACTGGATCCACGGGACATCAAAAGGACGCGTGGCCGCCCACCTACAAGATGGTTAGACTTCTTCGTCAAAACCCTGAACAAATAGTTTGAGGCTCTTCGTGTTCCTGGAGCAAGCAGATGCTATTGGGCTATACTAGCACGTGACAGGGATGAATGAAAACATTACTGGCACCTGCTTGAGCAAATCAATGATCAATGGGATGACAAGTTTTATATATATATATATATTTTTTTTTTTTTTAACGAGATTGCTTGCCTTCTATTTTACACCCCATCAAATGTAGTGTGCTACTCTTGGTACATTTGTGGTGTAGAGTCTGAGATGCTGCTCCAGGAATTCTAAAATTTTAAACATGGTGATACAGCTGAGGTTAATTTTTTTTAACTGGATGGTGACTTTAGGGTCCAGAGGCATCTCTGTGGCATGTCACTCTTGTGTTGCTCTCTTCCGAGAGATTTATTGGTGAGTCTCTGGATCATGTACACTAATGATTTTCTATGGTGCCAGAGGCAGTTCACACCAGGCTACAGGAAGCACAGGGAGATGCGGGGAGGTCACCCATTCCATACTCCATGTGAGCCTGGAGATTTCGCTCACATACCTGGATTTTCCACAGTTTCACTCATGGATGAGGCTAGTCTAAGACTGTGAAGAGCAGCCATGAGCATGGCAGCAATTGAGTTCTGGAAGTTCTGGATGCTGGGGCACTACTGGGCTGCGGGGGGGGGGGGGGTGCTGGGGGACAGGTCTCACCTGCTTCCCTCTGGGTTGCCCCGGATAAGTCACCCTGGCACTGGGTCCAGAGGCATCTCTGCAGTGTGTTGCTATATTGAAACTCATCTTTTGTTTCAATGGAGATTCTGTTTTTCCCCTTCCCTTCATGGTTGTTTTGGGGTCACTCACATGGGGGTCATACATATGCTACACACTTTATCAAGGTGCTTGCCAGGGACCATACTCTTTTATCGATGTTTGTGCTCTGCAGGAGGTGTACACTTTTCTTTGTGGTGCTTGTACACCATTTCGGCAGTGTCCAGCTAAATGCTTGCTGAGGTTAACACTTCTGACCATGGTGATCCCACCTTTTAGTTACAGTGTTAACGGAGGGTCATACATGTTAGTTGTGGTGTACTCACACTCCTTGTTATGATTTAGGCACTAGGAGTCCCAAAAGCAGAGTCGTTGGAACTTTTCACTCATGGATGAGGCTAGTCTAAGACTGTGGAGATCAGCCATGAACATGGCAGCAATTGAGTTCTGGAGGAAGAGAGCAAGGAATTGTCACAGGGAACTGAACTGGCGGCCTCACATTAGTATGGCAGGTATGTTTTCTTTCTGAGAAATCTCCTTCGGCCCCTCGAAATTATCTTAATATAAATCCCTGACAAAGTTAACAATGCCAAATCCTCAATTCTGATCATTCAAAAATCATGGTCTTGAAAAACTTGTCGAAGACTCTTTGATCATCAAAGTAAGATTTAGTATTACTCTAGTATTACAACTCTTGTTGCTTTTTTTGTGGGGGGAGGGGGGAGTGCTAGGGGTTGAAACTGAATGCCTCATCCATGTAAAACATGTACTTTACCATAGAATTTTACCGGGGTTCCCTCATCCCCCATCCCCTGTAACACTATGTTGTAAGGCAGAATAATAAAGTCATTTGGGGGGCAGAGGAATAGATAGTACAGCAAGTGGAAAAGGCGCTTGCCTTGCATGCAACTAACCTAGATTCAATCCCCAGCACCATGTATAGTACCCTGAGCCCTTGGGGACAGCCAGGAGTAAGCACTAAGCACAGGTGGGTGTGACCCCTAAAACCCCCCAAATTAAAAAAAAATTAAAGTCATTATGGAAAACTGCTTAACTAATTATTGAAATATTTTTAGTTAATAAAAATACAAATAATTAAAATATTTTGCCCCTTTGATATTAATCAAAAATAGCTTTAATATAAAAGCATTTTGGTAATATCTATGAAATAATGTATTATAGGCCATTTCAATTGTTTACATATGATGTCCTTCTGAACCTCCACACGTCCTTCAAAAGATGACTCCTTAATTACTAAGAAGTGACTGTTCAACTAAGACTGTTCAACTATTATTTAATTTATAAATGGAATAAAACCTACAATTATAAATAACAGCATTTCAAATGTTCATATCTAATATTTGAAATATTTTAGCCTATTATATTTATTATGCCCATAAAGTGGATTTTATTAGAACACACATATAACATTACGCCTTCCAATACCATAGTTTGTATTTTGTCCTAATCTTAGTTCATTTCTGTTCATTTCAAGATAGGGTCTTATATTTAATTATATTTATTTTGCTAACAATGCTTTAACAGAATAAGCACAGTAAATGATTTTAAGGCAAATGAGTCATTTGCTCAACTACTGCAAATTTTAATCTGAAGAGGTAATTTTTGGCACATAGCAAACCCTAGTCTGACCTCCAGCACTGCATATGGTCTCCTGAATTCAGTAGTGAGTGATCCTTGAGCACAGAGCCAGAATTAAGCCTCGAGCAAGCTGGATAATTCCCTATGCTTCATGACACACACCAAAAGAGGGTAATTTCTGACTTTGTTTTAATAACCCTAGTGAGATTTTTTAAGTGAAAGCAATTGGTTAAAAAGAAATAAAATTTAAAAAAACAATTAAATTAAAAAATTAAAAACCAAAAGAGAAAAAGGATTGATTCAGTGGGCAAATGAGATTTATTTTTTCTTAAAAGAGCTATACTAACAAAGTATTTTGGATTTAAATCAAGTGCAAAAAAACCCTCTTGTCAAGCACATTGTTTTGTGAAAATTTTACTTCTAAATAAAAATGTATACTGCAAAAAGGTAGAAAACAACTTGATACTTCATTTAATTCATTGGAATTAAATCACCAAGAAGATGCTAGTTTCATAGATGCTCTTTTAAAAATTAAAGTCTAGTTAAATGTTAAAATAAATGTTCTTAGTGTATATGAAAAATTCAAGTTTAAAAAAGTTAATATTGGTGATGTATTTAAACAATAATATAATGAGCTCTATAAAACAGGATTCTTTACTAAGAAGTAACTTTTTAGCTGAGATATTATTTAACTCATAAATGAAATAAGACCTATAATTATAAATAACATAGTATTTCAAATATTTATATTTAATATTAAAAATATTTTGAGTCCATCATATTAATTATTCCCATGTTAGATTTTTATTTGAACACACCAGATTTTTAAGCTCAGTTGATATTTAGAGCCTTTGCCACATTTCAGCAATTATTATTCAATCACTTACTGATCACTAATATAGTTAAGATTAAATCCTACTTTTCTATTAGTGTGTGTGTTTGGGAAAATGTTTCTGAATGGCAGAACAAAATATTAGAAAATATAGGAATGAATAGAAACTATACTCTAAATGGAATAAAGTAATATATAATTACATAATAATATAGAAACTATAGTGGGTGAAAGAAAGTATATATATATATATATATATATATATGAACAGAAAGGAGGATCAAAGTAATAATTCAAAACAGTAAAATCTAGGTGCAAGAAAGGTTTATGTTCTGTTATATAGGAAATAAATTAAAATCACATATACAAGTTCCCTCTACCCTATCCCAAAGTAGGAAAGCTGATAATGATATTAACTGAAATTCTCTATGAAATAATTTTCCAGTATTCAGACCCAAAATTAACACATCATACTGTAATGAAACTGTATTTTTTTATGAGAGGAGGGAACCTGTACCATATTAAATGAAAGATTCAACTTTAATGATATATATATATCATATATATATATGAGCACTGCTGGGTATGGCCCAAATAAACGAGGGGAGAGGGGAAGGCGAAGACCTAAAAAATCTACTCCTTAGGGATGCAGAAGGTTCTTATCTTGTTCTTACCAGTTTTACCAAAAAGTTTTCAGTAAGTGCATCACCGCACCAAATTTGTGAAGGTTTTCAAGTAGGGTTCTAAATACAAGAAAACTATGTAAAGAAAAAGTACTTTTAAAATAGATCTTCCAGGCTCGTAAATGACCCGCGATACTAAAAATCGCTAGGATTTAACACTCCAGCAGCTCCCGCCACGCACCCAAGTTCTCACGAAGGAGCGCATCCAGTGGTTCCATAAGGGGCATGAGACCAAGAGCCCTGGCCTAAACCTGCGAAACTTAAAAATTAGTCTCCTGGAAGTGGGAACCTCGAATCTGGTGGTCCCCGGACCAAGGGTCCCTTCCTTAATCCGTCCCCCGCCCCCCCCCCCCCCCCCCGCCTCGTCCAGAAGAAAGGGTGAAGGTCTGGGGACGTCTGCCCAGGGGCCCACCCGACGGTTCAAGGTTCAGTTTCCCGGCCCGGCCCCGCTGGAGAGGGTCTCGTGCTCCTACCTTGACCGGGTGCAGGTAGCCGTCGCCGCGCAGGGCGCCCAGCGCGGGGTCCGCTGGCTCCTCGGCGTCGTCCTGCAGGCTGCGCGTGAGATGCGCGATGTAGGTGGTAGCCAGCAGCAGCACGTCCAGCTTGGACAGCTTGGTGTCGGGCGGCACGGACGGCAGCGTGCGCTGCAGCTCCAGGAAGGCGTGCCGCAGGGTCTGCACGCGGCTGCGCTCCCGCGCGGCGTTCGCTGCCGCGGGTCGCCCGCCCCCGGAGCGCGCGCCGACTCCCGCGCGGGCCGGCCCGGGCCCGCTCTCTCCCGAGCTCGAGTCGCGGGTGGCCGAGGCCGGGGCGAGGGACTTATTGCTAGCGACCGTGGAGCTGCCCGCGGGCCCGCCACCGCAATCCATGGCAGATTCCCCCGCGCCGTGCGCGCTGCAAAACACCGAAAGGGCAAGTTGAGTTCCCGAGACACGGAGGGCTCTACCTCGAGGGAGGCAGTCCACTCCGCCGTTCCACGTGGCTCTGGCCATTCTCCGCCAGGGGGCTCATTTTATTCAAAGAGTTCACTTTTTGTATATTTGGGGGTGGGGGGATGAGGGCTGCTCCCGCACGTTGTTGAGGGACCCATAAGGTGCAGGTGATGGAACCAGGGACCCTCGCATGCAAAGCCCCGAGCTTCGCATTTCCCGTTCGCGGCGCTGTTTTGCCTCTGCGGGTCTTGGGGTGAGACAGAGTGCTGGGGGTCTCCAAGTTCCCGAGCTCCTTAGCAGGTCGTGAGAGTTTTACTTTTCACGGGTAAATTAAGCGAAAGGATTTCCCTGCCGGAAAAATAAGATCTCGGGCTCAACACTGGTGCGTGCTTCTGCAATTGATCCACGCAAGAGAGACGGTGCAAGTCTATATCGCGGATTTTAACTGGGAGCCCTCGGTGCCCACGCACTCACTCCTCCATCCCAAGTCTTGGGACACCCTGGAAAGGCGGAGCGAGTCTAGAATAATTTTTCTGGGGCAGGGAGCACACTTCGTTGCGCACAGCCCAGGGCTTACTCTTAGCTCTAGTGCTCAGGGATCACTCCCTCTTGGTGCTGGGGAGGGGAGCCGTATGCAAGTGTCGGGGATCGAACCGGAGCACCGCGTGCAAGCCTGAGAACCCCTATACTATCTTTCGCGCTCCCAGAGTGAGTTCGGCCCAGCGAACCCGCGCCTCACCTTGGTCTATGCTACCCTCGACTATGCTATCCTTCCACTCCTACACAGCGCGTCCGCTTAGGGCCCGATCCTCACCTTTCCTCCGGCGGTTGGGTGAGGTTTGACTCCGCTGGACGAGCCGAAGACACGAGTCCAACCGCGTCTGCGTGACCAGGACTGTTCCTGTCACTCCATTCTAATTCGGCTGAAATCGACAGCCACTTCCAGGCGCCTTTGACGCCCGGGCGCTCGCAGCCAGGCGCGTGTGTACGGCAGGAGCTCCGGGTCGGACAGGGGTCCTGGCCCAGCTGGGGGCGGTCCGCGGAGGGGTGGGCAGAGCCGGGACCCAGCCGCCCCCCACTCAGCTACCTAAGAGTCATCAATCAAACCGTCGGGCCGGGCGCGGCTGGGGGCTGGGCATCACCTGGCCACGCCCCTTCCCCCGCGGGGTGGCCGGGGAGTGGAGGCGCGAAGGCGACGCTGTGGCTGGGGCGGGGACTGCGCTCGAGACCCCCAGACCCGCTTTGCTAGTGGCCTGGCCTCGCCTCGCCGCTGGCCTCCTTGCCTCCGTTCCTGCCTAAGTGTGTGCCTCTGCGCTGCACCGGGGCGCCTCTTGGTGGAGCGTGCCTTTGAATCTTTTTGAAGAAAATTTATTTATTTAATTTTTATTACAGAAACACCACGAAGTACAGTTGTAGACTTACAAATTTTTGTGTTTTGGTTTCGGTTATACAATGATCAAGTACCAATCCCTCCACCAGTGCCCATTCTTCACCACCACTGATCCCAGTATCCCTCCCACCCTCATCCCCTTCATCCCACCCTTCCCTTTTGTTATCTCTCTCCTTTTGGGTGCTGTGGTGCAAAAGAGGCACTGAGTGTGCCTTTGAATTTCTGTGAGAATCCCAACCGGTCCTGCTTTATCCTCCTCCGGAGGTAGCGGTCCCCCGAAGTTCCAACCGCCACCAGCCGCAGTCGCCCCTCTTCCTCGGTACTCAGAAGCCCCTCGACAGCCCTGTCGGAGAGTCTTAAGGAAAGCCCCCAGCCCGGGGGGAGCAGTCCGGTGGGGGAGGCGGGTGACACTGCCCCTTCGCAGGACCCCGGATTTGCTTCGTGTTTTAAACACAGAAGTGCGTGCCCCTGCGGGAAAACTGCGCTGCGGGACACGGTGAGAGCGTGAGGGGCGGGGAGCGGGGAGCCGCCCGCCCCCCCCCCCCCGTGAGGTTCTTTAAATAGGGCGCCAGCGGGGGTCGCGGGGCTGCAGAACCCCTGGCGCATCGCCCCGACCCCAGGGGCGCCCCGCAGCCGGTCTCGGACCCGTAGCTCTAAGGGGCGAAGTCTGAAGGGGTACCCAGTATATCCCTGCAGCGTGGTTACTGCAGCTTTGAAACCGATTTTACCCAGCCAAGAGCAGGACAAGAAAGATCTTGGGGGTCAGAACAGAATCACATCTCAGATGTCTCGAGTGAAACTGATTTTGTACACACGATCTACATCCCTGTTTGACTGTCGGGACTACCAAACAGAAGACAGGAACTGGCATTTGCTGCATTGCCCTAGTTCGTTCCACACGTAGAGGGGTGCATCAGAATAATCCTCACGCTCTCATCTCAGTTACCTTTAGTTACAACAGTTAGCCTTTAGAAAAACTGTTAACCTTTAGTACAGCAGGTAGGGCGCTGGCCTTGTGTGCATATTATTTGTATGTAATGTAACCCGGGTTCCATCAGGACCATCACCGGGTGTGGCCCAACACACACACCCAAAAAACGCACCAAGAATACCATTACTTTGGAAAACGATTTTCTTCTCATGAACCCGGAAGCCCATATTTATTTCCCCTGTAAATTGTAATGAGGAAAACAATGTTTCGGATTCTATAAAGAAACAAATCAAATCAACAATCAATGGCTTTTCTTATATGGTACCCTAAAGCTTCAAACCAGAGATGATGGTGCTGCCTACTACTGTAAATCAGACAATTCAGGCCATTTAAAATGGAATTTGTTCAGTTTTTACTAACAGATTTTTTTTCTACTTTTGTGCTATAGAGAAGGTGAGGTTCATGAACATTTTTTTTTTCTGTCAGCAGGCGTTCAGATTCCTTCCAGGAGATTCCTTTATTTATGGGGGAAAGGGGAGGGAAAGATTAAAATTATTTTAAAAGAAAGTTATCCTAAACTTTATATAGTATATACAGTCTTATATATATTCATATATATGTATAATCTAGGAGATAGTGACAGTAGTAAAGGCTTATGAAGTAACCAGATTCTGAGCTTTCTCAGGCTTTAAGTGTGCAGAAAGGGTCTGAGGTTATAACTCATGTAATTTGCATTTGTAAGGCCCTGGGTTTGTTCCCTGGCACTGCAAAATTAAATAAGTGAAGCCCAAACACAAACATTTGGAAAAATACAATGAAAAAAATCTATTAATTGGAACAGTGTGGGAATAGGATTGGAAGGAAGGTGGGCCAGCGCTAGGGGAGACAAATGAGGTGTTTAGGTTCCCTTAAATTTTGCACTTAAAATTTCCCAACGCCTCATTCCAGCCTAGCATGCTCCAATCTCTTTGACAGGCACAAAGGATTTTCTTTGCTGCTTACATCGACCAGCCAGTGGCCAGCTAGTTTGTCCAAAGAAAGGAGTATCAGAAGTGGATTAGATAAGACTGAACATTTCTGCCCACCCAATTTCTTATCTGTTGCCACTTCAAGCAGCCTTCTGAATGCCTTGATAATTCTAGAGTAGTCATAAATCCTGTAAACTGGAGAGATAGTACAGGGATTAAGGTGCTTCACTTGCATGTGTCTTAATCTGGTTAAATCCCCAGCACCACGTGAAGGATAGCTCAACCCTCTTTGCCACCCCCCCACCCCCGCCAAAATCAGTATTTACAATTAACACAGGAGACGAAAAATCTTTAAAAATTTTTTGAAGTACTAACTACATTAATTAGTAACAGTTACCATATTTAACTGTATGTGCCAAGTTCTTTATAAAAAAGTTTTTCTCATTTAATCTTTACCGAAGTCCTTTGAGATTTTACATTGTTTGTAGTTGAGGAAATAAAGCCCAGAGGAATTAAGTAATTAAGTTTTAATTAAGAATTAAGTAATTTATCCAGGGGCTGGAGCAATAGCACAGTGGGTAGGGCGTTTCCTTTGCACGCGGCCAACCCGAGTTCGATTCCCAGCATCCCATATGGTCCCCCAAGCACCGCCAGGAGTGATTCCTGAGTGCAAAGCCAGGAGTAACCCGAGCATCGACGAGTGTGACCCAAAAAGCAAAAAAAAAAAAAAAAAAGAATTAAGTAATTTATCCAAGGTCATATAGTAGTATGTGGAAGAGACAGGATAGGATTAAAGCCAGACATATTGACCTTGGCACTTCACTATATTCTATTTAATATTTGCAGAGTTCTTCTTTAAGGAGAAAGTATATATTATATATATGTCCTTACTTAATTTATTAGAATTTGGGTGGGGTTTAGAGGACTGTATATGGTACCAGGGATTAAATCCAAGTATGCTGCATATAAGGCAAGAAACTTAGCCACTGTACTATCTTTCTGGCCCTCATGCCCTTATTTTAATTAAACCCCATGTCAAAAACAGATAAACTATTTTCATAGTATTATGTACAATTTTTTAGAATTCTTGCCTTGGAAAGTATATGACTTTGTGACCTAGTTTTCCAAATTTCCTCTTCCCTTTGTTGTCTCATGATCACCAAGGATCACAGACATGCCTGGCTATGGTACTTGTACATTAAGTTGTTATATTTGTTTGGGGGAACATGTCACACATCAGATTGCAGTGTACCCACATTCAGTGGCTGGGTTGCTGTGAGAGTTACTCTTCCTTTATTTGTGGTTCTTCAGTACATGCTATCTGGTAGTTTGATACACCTATACATTCTGATTGTAATGCTGACCAGAGTTGCTGTGGAGCTCAGAAATTTGCACAGAAGGGCTGCACTTTATTCACCCTTGTGCTCACACATCTTTTTTACTTGTTTCACCGAGGAAGCACCCCACATACACTTGGCTGCAGTGCTGTTGGAAATTGCTTATGGTGCAGTGGATCAAGACAGGAAAGCTGACAGCCTCAAAGGGCAAAGCTGCCAAGATTGCACTCAGCTCATGGGGCACCACTGGACATTGAACTTCAGACCACATGCTTGCATAGCAGGCATTCTAAGCCTACTATTTGTCTAAGTCATGATACTTTTCATGTAGTACCACTTGTATATAAATTTCATGACTTCATCTTTTCTAACAGCTACATAGTACTCCATTGTGTAAATGTACCAACGTTTCTTTAACCAGTCATCTGCTCTCG